CCCCCCCCCCCCCCCCCCCCCCCCCCATTCCCAGTGGAAATGAAGCCAATCTTACGCCTGCCATTCTTCCTCCCTCCTTCTCATTCCCTTTCCCCTCAGTCTCCTTCCTCTGCCTCTCCCCACACACTGATACACGTCTCTCCCACAGGGTGACCTCGGGGGGCAGCGCACCCTGCAGAAGAAATGGACGTCCTTCCTGAAAGCCAAGCTGGTGTGCTCCATGCCTGAGCTCAACTTTGTTTTCAACGTAGTACATGATGTCTTCATCCTGAAGGGGGCAGACTTCAGAGACACCGTCATCTACGGGGTCTTCACCTCCCAGTGGTCAGTGCTTTGAAGATCTTGAATTGGGGTCAGAAAAGGACAATGTTTCAATATCAAGCGGGGTCCTTAAATTCACTTATTTTCCCTCCCCCCCACTTCTCTCCCGACTCCATCATCATCCCTGTCCCCCAGGGGTAATGTGGGCTTGTCAGCAGTGTGTGCTTACAACATGACAGCTATGGAAGAAGTCTTCTCCAAGGGCAAGTACATGCAGAAGGCCACAGTGGAGCAGTCCCACACCAAGTGGGTCCGGTACAACGGCATCACTCCTTCTCCACGTCCTGGAGCAGTAAGTACCTTTCACACCGCTCCAATAGTTAAGACTGAGCTCAGTTTGTTGTGAATGCTTGTGCAAATTTTATGAAGTCTAGGAAATGCTTTATTAAGTATTTAGAATACAGATGTAAAAGAAAATGAATGGGGGGGGGGGGGGAAATGTCTTTTTTAGTAGACAGACAGATGTGAATTTACTTTACAAGAATAAATCATTTAATGTCTCCTGTCTGCGTTTTTCCTCCACCAGTGTATTAACAACCTGATGCGACGGCAGAACGTCAGCAGCTCCCTCCACCTGCCAGACAAGACCCTCCAGTTTGTGAAGGACCACCCCCTGCTGGAGGACCCCGTCCTACCCATCGGCAACGGGCCTCGCCTCATCACCAAAGACGTCAACTACACTCAGATTGTTGTGGAGAGGGTGCGCGCGCTCGATAGGAACATTTATGATGTCATCTTCACTGGAACAGGTAAGAACACATCAGTTATTTATACACATTTGAATTTAAAAACTCTTATAAATGAGGCTGTGCTTTTCAAGTTTATTAGACCCTGACCCTGAGAAATAGACAATATGTAAGAATATTGTAAATATTCAAACACAATAGAGTATTACATTTAATCACAATTGCAACAGGCTGCCTTCAGCGAGACGCCTGAAGTACTAGTTGTGTTTACAAGACCAATAACAGCTGAGCATAGCTGGAGAATAGTATGGTAAAACAAAAAGGGAAGGAAACTGCCCAGTCCGAATATAGCTGATACCAGTTGGCTCATTCAGTACATCCTGTATTCTAATAGTTTGTTTTAAAGAGGCTCATTTCTGGCTCCTGCCTCGGCTGAATGATTTGCCTTTTACCATTCTCATCTTTAGATAAGGGAGTCCTGCACAAGTCAGTGGTGTATGAAGGAGAAGTGCACATTGTGGAGGAGATCCAGCTCCTGAAGAACTCTGAGTCCATCAAGAACCTGCTGCTGTCCTCGGAGGTCAGTGACGAACCGTACAAAGAGACCGCTGCGGCACAAGAATTAGAAAATGTGTTTTGAGCTCAACAGAAACGCAGAGCGCTGACGGGCAGCGTGTCGTTATGTGGTGGTACACGAAAACCTTTGCAAGCAGCCACTTTGCTGTTATAGATTTTTTTTTTTTTTAAGTGATTTGTAGACTTTTGTGTAGTTTCGGGTTCATATTTGTGACCTTTTGAAATCTATAAGCGTATTTCTTTTGTTGTGCACTCTTTCTTTGGCATATCTACGTATCTGAACAACCTTGTGCTTCCACAGACACGCTCCCTGTACGCTGGTTCAGACTCCGGTGTGGTCCAGTCCCCCACAGCCTTCTGTGGCCGGTATCTGTCCTGCGATGACTGCGTCCTGGCCCGAGACCCGTACTGTGCCTGGGACCCTCACACTGCTGCCTGTGTCAATATCTTTGATGCTCCCAGCCAAAGGCTCAGGTAATCCTTTTTATTCTCCACATACCGGTACTCCGCTCACGCACTACAACACTGGATAACGAAAGCAAAACCACCAACGAGAGACATCTTAACCGATACTCCGTCCAGTTTGACCTGCTTTACTGTCTCAGTCTAAATATTTCTTCATTTCAGAGTTCAGAGTATTTTAGATGGCGATGAAAATAAAGCTTGTTTGTTTTTTCAGGAAGCTAATCCAGAGCCTGAACGGTGACGCAGACAAGTGTCCGTCAGGTAGGGTGCAACATGCGCACATACGCCTAACAAAGAAGCTTTATAACATGGACAGTGAGAGTAAAAAACACTGGATACCGATTGGAAATCAAATATCACAATTCTGAACGTCCTAAATATAAGGCACGTTGTGTGATTGTCCTCTATTGCACATTAAACACACATTTGCACATTTGTTTTGCCTCTCAGCATCAAGTCTGTCTCTGAAGGACTACCGACGTGTGACAGTGAAACCAGGCAGCTCTGCTGAGCTGCCGTGCCTGGGACACTCCAACCTAGCCCAGGTGATGTGGAAATCCAACGGCTCTGCCCTCACCGAGGCCTCTCGCTTCCACCTCATAGGCGAGAACAGCCTCCTGATTTACAGCGTGGCTCCAGAGGATCAAGGTCACTACGAGTGCTGGTCAGTGGAATGGGCCCCGGCTGCCGGGAAGAACTTCAGCCGCCTCCTGGCCGGGTACGTCCTCACTCTGGATCTCCCGCCCAGAGCTCCACACCAGGCAGGCCACGTTGCCACCACCCTCGGCAGCCAGGAGACGTCGAGCTCACATACAGCCGAAGGTAATGGTAAGACAGAGAGAGCCCTACTAACGTCGGCCCTTGCTCCTCCCAGCTTCACAGCCACAGTCCACCTCACCTCCCCACCCCAAACTGACTCATCACTAACCCTGCCGCCCAGCAGCACAATGAAGTTCCAGCCAAAGCAGCATCTTCCCCCGAGCTCCAGCGCTCCGCGCCCAGACAGCCGGGACCCAGCGGCTGAGTATTTGCAACACAACAACAGCACCGCCCTCCTCTTCCTCTTCCTCCTGTTTTTCCTCCTCTTTCTGGCCGCGCTGGCGTACAACTGCTACATGCAGTATCTTCCGGCGCCCTGCCTGCGGCTGCGAGCCGCCCTGCTGGGCACTCACAAGAGCACCCATCAGCCCGAGTATCGGGCCTGCGAGGCGGGTCTGATGGAATCATCTGCGACCGAAAAAATTAACATGACGGAGCAACCGACGCAGAACGGCAGCCAAACCACTCAAAACCTCCGGGCGCTCCGCGACACCGGGTATGAGACCGAGCCGGAGTGCGGCAACGGTCAGATCCCATCCAAGGAGAAACCCTTCGATGTGGACTGTGAATCTCAGCCGATCCAGTTCGCAGATGCAGATGAACCTTACTGCTAGCCAGAGGCCTCTGCTCTGCCTTTGTTTCTCTCAGCACAGAGACTATTGATAGGGAGAGAGGGGGGGGGGGGGGTCACACTCTTGCTGCATCTTTCCACGACTCACAAATCTAAGCGCTTTCCTCTATATGAAAGTATGTTCAGTGTACAGCATCACATGAAGTTTAATCATCACAAGGCGTCTTTGAGATATAACTCCTGTCTGGTCTAGGGTTTATGACGACAAAGCAAAAACTATTCACAGAAGCTGCACCCTCTCAGCTTAGTCCAGCAAGAAAAGCTATTTCTTAAATTCCAAATTGGAAACATTGTTTACCAAATTGGTAAGTTACTTTGATGTTTTCCAAATTGGAGTCATGTTTTTTCTTTGTACAGCCTGGGGGGAAAATAGTCTCTTGAAGCTTTTGCATCTTTTTTCTTTCGGAGCAACATGTCGGCTAATGGACTTGAGTCAGCGCTTCGACATTACGGTCATTTCTCAGGGAAGATTTTCTCAGCACGTTCTAGCCTAGCTTTCTACGGTGTTGCCGTCTGCGTCACCTGGTACGTGGTTCTTTATCTCACCCAGTGAAGTGGCAATGGCGGGTTTGAATGTCGGAGAAAGAGAGAGAGAGAGAAAACAATGAACAATGCTTAAAAAAATCAAACCACTGTCTCGTTGTCTTTGAGTGACGATGTTGAGTTTCTCTGTGTTTTATTTTATTTCCTCCCTGTGAAGTCGACATTCCTACATGGATACAACTCTGATGCTCCTTTGTATTAACCTCTACTAGTCACTTTCCCTCGTGGTCTCTTAATGACATAAATATGTTCTATATGACGTGATGCTTGACGATATCAAACATCAGCCCAGTTTATAGAAAAAATATTTTTTTATTCTTATTTTTAATTAAGCCTTCAGTTTTAGAACATTCTCAGATAATTATTATTTAAGATGAGTCGTGTCTGTGGTAATATCATTTTGTCTATTGTGTAAGTAGTTGTGATCATCCTCATGTTTTATTTTATTTATTACAAATTTGTTAGTTTTTTTTTTTTTTTTAATCCCAGCCCATTATTCTCCCTCTTGTCTGTGTTGCATGTCACCCCTTGTTTAGATTTCCTGTTTTCCTCAATACTCTCTCTTCTCCCATCACTCCCTCCCTCACAGTCGCCTCTCCCGTCGACACTTCATCTTCCCTGCCCTCCTCTGGAAGTAGCACTCCCTCTGCCCTCCCTTCCTCCTCCTCCTCTTCCTCCTCCTCTTCTTCCACCTCTTCCTCCACCAAGCCCCACACTGTGGAGGCCCGGGAGGCAGAGGTGAGACTGTTGCCTCCCCTGCTGAAGGACCAAGCCTGGGGGGTTCACGCCCAGGAGGCCTTCCTGCTCTTCTGCCTGGCGTTGGGTGAGTGGTGTCTGTGACGTTGACTCGGTTCACACCTCCCGAACCGGAAATCCATTCCTCTCACTTTTTAACCCTCCCCCCTTTTTCACTCTTTCTCTTCTCTTTCTGCATGTTGCATGTTACCATTTCCCAAACATAAACTAACTGTGTGTGTGTGTGTGTGTGTGTGTGTGTGTGTGTGTGTGTTTCTGGATCTGTTTATAACAAGCCTGTCCTTTGCTTCAAGGCGTAGTGGAGAACTGTTCATCTCCATTTTAGGTGTCTGGTGAGATGCCTTAGTGAATGTTGAAAATGACTAGATTCAATATTGAACTGTCAACTTCAGTGATCTGGTTGTTGGACAATTCTCAATTCTATGTGACTGAAAGGTACAGTTTTATTTATAGTATTGTGTAACAACAGTCTGACGTGAAACCTGTACATTTTTAGAAAAGATCCTTTTTTTTTAAATCCAGGGTGTTACTGTAGACTCAAATGTCTTACATCTCAATACTTTATCTGGGTCATTTTTGTGCTTGTAAATATAGTTGTATATATGGAAAAATACCATTTGAAGATGTACATAAATTTAGGGGACGTTTTGGGGCTATTTCTCTTGGTAGGGAGGCTAAATAAATCTTGTCAAATGTTTTCAACACTGGCTTGTTTTGTTACATTTTTGACTTAATAAAGAAATGTGATCTCATTACTGACAATAAATGGCCAAAAGATTAGGATTCTGTTGAAGTTCTGAGATCAGGCAAACTTTTACACTGCATGTATACATATATAATACAGTCACACTAAACTTGACCGACACAAACAAACCTACCAAAGGCAAGTATTCCCTATCGCAGTCTGTGTGGCGTGTCAGTGTCTCGACCATTCGGGGGGGGGGATCAACATGAAGTCCTATTCTGTCCATCAGGTCCCAGTGATGTCCACATTCACTGGCTAATAAATGGACACAGTCTGGACACCCCTAGAATGGAGTACCGCCAGCCGGTGGGCCAGAGGGAGGTACTAGTGAGCAGCTGGCTCCAAGAGGGGCCGCTGATCAAGGACGCCCGTTACCGCTGTGTCGCTGAGGCCAGCACAGGAAGTGACATGTCCGAGGTGGACCTCCGCCTCACTATTCGAGGTATCCGGACCTGAAGCTTGTATGGCTGTGAGAATGTCCAGTGTGTCTACTTTGACTATACGTATTTTGAGATATATTGTGAGTAATCCATGTTAGGTAATGGAGTGCCTGGGATTAGTTGCAGCAATGCCACTGCCATTGTTTCCATAAAAGACGTTATTATTTGACAGATGAGGAGAGCAGTCCATCCAGGGATTTGAACCAGTGGAGAGGTGCACTCACAGAGCATGAGCAACTGCTCAAAAGATGGCAGAAGGCCTGGGTAGGTCTATGTTCATGCATGCGAGTGTGTTTTCTCCCAACGTCATACTGGTTATTGTGCATTTGCCCACGTCAACTTGCATCATGTGCACCCGTCTTTATCCGCCCTGCATGTTTGGCTTTAGGCGAGTAGTTTGAGCTCTGCATTGTTTTTTTCAGCACTAGAGAAGTACAAAGTCCAGATTCATTGGGACACATAATTAGGAACACAAAGCTAAAGCCAGCTGGTTCATATTCCACGAAATCAAGTGTTTTCGTATTCTGCAAATTAACTTTATTCTACTTTTTTTTATGAATGAAGCGTTTGTCAGGGTTTGAAAAAAAAAAAGCAAACTTATTTAACTAAATTACTAACAATTCCTGCAGCTTTTTGGTGAACTACTTTTAGCCATCACATTTAACTCTATTACACTTAAACACATGTTCTGTTCAACATGATCAGTTAACCTCATTCAGCTAACTGTGTTCCTGATGACAAAAACACTTTTATGTTCCTTTTTAAAAGGATTACTAAAGGGGTCTTCCAAATATAGATGCACAAATCTTGTGACATTTTTAACTGTAAGGAACAAGTTTGGATAAACTTACATGAATGGTTCAAGACTCAGATTCCAGTCTCTCTTTGTTTAGTTCGAATGAAGATGTGCTACTTGCATGCATCTAGTTTGACCGGAAAAACATGCAAGCTCCCTCAATGCACGTTTCTGAATGGTAAACTTAAGTCTGTAATTCAGACTGAATTATAGTTTTGTTTCATTATTTAAATTACTGATGAAACTGGAGACGTGGGCAGTGATTCAGAGGTCTAGAACCAGACTAGTTGAACATCTGTTATCAACATTCTTTACCTTTTTTTTTTTTTTTTTTTTTTTTTTTTTTTTACATCCTCCTCCTCTTGTACAGTACAACTGTGTTTCCCTCCACAGGAAAGCTGTGACGGCCACTGAGCTCTGTGAAGACGACATGAGCTTCACTTGTGTTGGGTGAATCCAGTTGTGAACATGGTCCTCACTCAGCCCAGGTGGACCACACCTTTGACACTGAGGCACACAGTGTCACTTCTTACGTAGGAGTTTGATGGAGAATTCACGACACCTACCTGGCTGTGTTGATGGTGTTCGGACTCTTTCCCAAGCTGACAAGGAGATGAAGGTCATCGGTCTGAGGATGTTTGGGCTGCCTCACCAAATATGCATTTCTTTCTATTTTTATTGATAAAAATGAACATCAGTGCTTGTATGGAACAAACTGACTGTGTATGGGGAGCACTGATCTATATTTGTAAGCGATGCAGCATCTGTGACCTGTAAAATAGTTTGGTTTATTTGACAAACGTCTCGGATGTTGTACGGTCCCTCAAAACTACCTTGCAGTTTGACATTTTTACTTGAGGTTATGCAGTGTGTTGGGCATTTCTTATCTTTTTTTCTCCTTCCGGAGAGTTAAAGACTGAGCTTATTCACTGGATTTTGATTGCAGGAATTGAGAAGTTTACGGTGGGGAAGTAGGGTTCTTTTCAACCACAGTGTGTGATGTTTGACATGAAACACGCTTTTATCATCGGGTAAAAAGCCAAGCATCCAACAAAGCCGTCCTTAGCATTGGTTGAATTGTTACGGTCTGTGCCTTACTGATTTCTGTCTGCAGTTTTTGTTCACAATGAAAATGTGACTACCCATTTGCCTCGGAAGCAAAAATAAATACATTTGCTTATATTGAGTTTAACATCAATGCATCACGTTTGCCCTGTTTGAATGAAGCATGTTTATCACACACTTTTTATGTCGGGTGAACGATTAAATATTCACAGACCTGATTCACCCTTTTCTAAACACGTTATATGCTGAGTGGCACGGTGACACGTCAGCCTTTTCCACCATCTGAATTATTAACCGACCGACCGCTGTGCATTTCTCCTTGGAAGCCAGTTATGACATTCAGAGGTTAAAATAAAATCCTTGACTTTCTTTCTAGATGTAGGTTGTATACCTCACCTGACGTTTATGCCTCACAGATTTATAAACAAATGGGCATTTAATATTGTATTTTTAATTAACTAGGGATGATCAGAAACAAAGTTGCACCTTAAATGTTCAGTACAAGACATTTGATGTGTAACAAAAAAGTGCAACTGAGAAATAAATGTTTACATGCAAAGTTTCTGTAGCTCTGTGATGCTTCTATATTTTTCATGGTGCCATCTTCCACAACTGGAGTCATATCGCCCTCATGTGACCAAGTAAAGGAGCACAAGCTAAAAACAAAAAAATAACAAGATATTCATTTGTTTATTAAATACATTTTGTTTATTCGAGGCATACTCTGATACTGGTTTAATCTCTATACAATAATAAAAGTTATGTCGATTTTCCAGTTACCACAGAAAAGCAGCATGACTGTTTAATGTAGTGACTAACTGCATCAGCCCAACACGCTAATTCTGGCATGAAGTCACAAGACTTCCTACTGAATGTATGAAATCACTGAAACTAAAGCAAACACTTAACATATCATCAGACATAGATCAGAAATAGAAATAATGTGGAGATTATTTTAACAAGTTGATCTTTAAACAGACTAGATCCAAGATCTTAAAAAAAAAAAATAAGTTTGAGAACAAACCAGTGCATTTTGCAAGCAACTGAGGACCGTGATTGTCTGTTTGACCCAATCAGTTATAACATTAGGGACCTGGTTTGTGGATCCTTGGAACATATTTAACTATTTCCAGTCAGAGTCAGCATGTTCTGAGGTTTGTACACTATTAATGCCATACCTTGAAAATTACAAAGCAAAACAAAGATGAGAAAATCAAGACTGACGTGTGTCTCATTTCCCATTTTCTGTATTCATGGGGTAAATTAGTCTATTAGGTACAACAGGACAGGCTGCAGCACTGCATGTCAATATACTCATATCCTTTGTGACGATTATCACGTTCAGGTGTGCTTACATATTGCAGAAAATATAAATTGCCACAGATGTGTAGATATCACGAGGTTACAAAGTATTTTCTGACAAGTACATGGCCTCTGTTGTCCCATATCAATATTGTGTGCATCGGTGCCCTGGGGGCTTTTCTCCAGTTATGATGCCATTCCAAGAAAATACAACATAATTGAGTTAATATCCCATTAGTAGGCCCGAGACTAATAATCAGATTTTGGAACTATAACCAATTTGTTCTGGACATCTGAGAGCATGAATCAGAAATGTTTGTGCAGGTCATTTTGTAGTAGCAGTCTCCTGCAGGTTCTGCACCGCCTTGTAATCACGTCAATGGAGAACAGGTGACACTTGTTTACTTCCGGGTTTAGCTGCTCTCTACTCCGCTGAGCAAGGTAAGCGCGGACATGTGTTGATGTTATGTGTGTGTGTGTGCGCGCATGTTATCTCCGGTACATTTTGCAGACGCAGTTTGCGCCCAGGTGAACTGTTGCTAACTGTTGTTAGTTTGCGGCTTCAAGGTTTG